ACTTGGGCCCTGGCTGGGAGGCCCCTCCTCAGCTTCTGACAAGGAGGGAGCTCTGGGCATGAGGACGGTGAGCAAGAAGCGACTGCAGTGCCCACAACTTACCCTCAGCTCGGCTCTGTTGGCTTGGGTCAGAGAAGTCGCGTGGAAAGTGCTCCCTGGGGGCCAGTTGTCAGTAAAGCTGCAGAAGCCTGGAGCCGGCCAGGAAATAACCGCGGCGTAGGAGCCTCCTCCGTTGAGAGGAAGGAGGACTCGTGCGTGGCGGGCGCAGGCTTGGAGTCAGGCACAGGTTTGAAACAAGCTATTTCATCCTGATGCGTTTGACGAACTCCACACAGTTTGCTCCTGTTTTACAGATGTGGCAACTGAGGCTCAGAGAGGTTAAGTGACTTGTCCCAAGTGACACTGTCAATCAGTGGAGGGGCTAGGATTTGCGCTGGCCACCTGCTTCCAGGTTCAGTGTACTTTTCTGCTTTTCTCTCCATGCCTCCCTGACCCTTTGCTGATGACACACTCCTGAGACCTCAGAGGAGTCCCCCTTTGAATCCTGAATGGCCTCGCGTTTCCCCGGGGCATGACGCAAACTTCGCCACCTCACTCCCACCCTCACCACTTGCTGGATCCCATTAAGAAGATGCTGCTTACAGGATCACCCAGGAATTCAGGCCACCACTATTGCCCCTTCCCCTGCTCTTAGCCCCCCATCAAACTGAAGGTGGCTTCCCTGGGAGACTGGGGGCAACACCCTTTTGCTCTGTGTGAAGCTTGTACCCTTCTCCACCCAAGTGAATGACAGCTGGTGGGGTTTTTGCACTGTGGAGTGGGGTACACAAAGATGCCGGAGTGAGGAGACAAGGGCATGGCCAGCCTATGGCTGGGAAGTGGTGGTTCCACCTTCCGTGTGGACTCAGCTTTGGAGTCATGTCGGCTGCTCTCTGGGCACCCCCGTGAGCCATTTCTTCTGTGACGGGGAGACATGTTCCACTGCCCTGAGGTGGGTTCAGTGCAGACTCTCCCCAGGGTCAGGACAGGAGCTAGAGTGTAGTGTGGTAGAGGGATGGTCTGAATGGTGACTTCGGGTTGGTGAGGAGAGGCTGTGGCGCCTCCACTCACTGTTGGCATCTTGCTGAAGTAAGCATGGTCCGCCTCCCCGCTGTGCCCTGTGGAGGCGGCTTAATGCATTCCCTTGACTGCAAAGGACTCCCTGCCAAAGAGACCTTCCCCATGAGGTTGAGGCCTCCTAGAACCCTCAGTGCTCAGGAAATTATAACCAGCCACCCCCATCTCCGTTCACTGGAGAAGGAGCGATGGCCGCCTCAGTGCCATTAACTCTGTGCTGTGATTAAATGGATCCCGAGGAGACTCCTGCTCAGAGACACCTCCCTGTGGGACAGACGCCTGGGCTGGGCTTGCAGCACAATGCTTGATTCCTTTGGTTATGCACATTCCTTGGCAGAATCCAGGCTTACCAAGAAGGAGTCACTCTGAGCTGCTTGCTGCCAGTCACACGCTTAGCAGGAGAAGAGATCTTGTGCTTCTCAGGTGGCTGTGAGCGGGAGGGAAGGAGGCCCAGGGTGAAGCCAGGTGGGATAGGAGGCAGGGGTGCGCTGTGCGGACCTCGGCACCAGCTCTGGCCGCTGCGGTGGGATCTCAGGTCAGTCACTTTGCCTTTTTGGCTTCAGCTTTCTCATCCATACGTCATGGATTTGGGATTAAAGGATTTCTGAAGATTTTACTCATTCTGAGATTATGGTCCCTGGAAACCTTTGGGGAACAGGGAGCTTCTTCTCTTCATTATTTTAACACATTTGATATTTTATCTTCTTTGGCAGGGAGCGATGATAAGTAGTTAGAGAAGAACCAGCTCAGTGAAAACGTTGAAAGGCTGTGGAAAGATACGTTAAATTGACGCACTGTGACTCCAGGGATGGGCGACTTGGATCCCCGTGTTTTTGATGACGCGTCTCTCCTCTCAGAGTGGAGACGTGCAGTTCTGAGGAATTACGCCCAACAGCAGAACTGGCACGGGGCAGGGAGCTGTCCAGCAGAGAAGCTGCTGAAAGCCGCCAGGGGACACTCGGTTCCACCAGGGCCCGGCTCTCACGCTGTGCTCCGCAGACATCCGATGCCAAGGAGGGGAGCAGCGAACGGGGACCTTGTCCCTAAGGAGTTTACACGCAGGGAGGTCAGGCGCAAACACTGGAATTTCTAGGACTCTGCTATCTAAAAACACAATCGCTAGCACATGGGTTCAGAAGACAGAGAAGGAAAAGAGCTGTAAAGAGTTGGGTGGGCTGAGGTTTGAAATGGGCTTTCACTATGACTGGACACAATTTGGTGACAAATGGGTGAAATTTCAAGCAGAAGAGGTAGCATGAGCCAAAAGGGGTGTGCAATCTTTGCAAAGAGAAGGGGGAGGGAGTGGCAAGGGAACAGGACAGAGAGGAGGAGGAGGGAGAGGAAGCCAGAGATGAGGAGCCAGGGAGGAAGAAAGGGGAAGAAACAAATGTGAAGGAGATTCTGAAGACAAGCCACTGTGGCGGTCCAGGTGGTTCCATGTGCCACGCCACGCCAGGGACTTGGAGTTTAGTCTGGGAGGAAGGTGCTGAGTATAGATGAAAAAGCAGAGGAATGGAGAGGGGAGAAAGGGGAAGGCACTTCACAATGATTAAGCAAGCTCCTCACAGGGCTAAGACTTCTCCCTTCTCAGAAGGAGGTGCCCTGTGGCATGGCTCTAGGCCCAGAGTTAAAGAGCTGGGGCCATGAGGAGCAGCAAGGGGCTGCCTCCCCACTTGTCCGGTTAATTCTCCCTCAGGGTAAGTCCTCATGGGGGATCATCTCTGCCCATGGAGCTGCTTCTTCTGGCCCTTAGGCTGGTGTAGGAGGAAGGCTGTGTGCTGGAGGTAGATCTTGCTCCTAGTCCACCAGCAAAACACATTCAGTTATTTCTGTGCCTGAGTCTCCCTTCCCCACAGTGATCTCTTTATTCCCCTCCTAGAAACGGAGGGAGACAATGGTGTGGGCGATCGGGTTTTCTGAAACCTTTTGGATAAGCAAAAGGCCTCTTAGAGCAGAGATGGCTATGGGAATAGTTTCCTTTTGTTATTTAATGCTGGGGCTTTCACACAGGAGTTTAGTCCAGCTTTTAAGTCTTCAGTATCAAGTAATAGTTGGTGTCACCTCCCTGCTGAAATACAGCCATGAACATGTTTCTTAGTGATAGATTTAGGTTGTACTCCTTGAGAAAAGCTCAAATGTCAAGAAGTGCTTCCCACGGGTGCATTTTACTGGGGAGAAGGCGTCTCAAATAGAAGGACGGTTGGTCTGTCTAGAAATGGTAAGAACAGTACAGGTTAAAGGCAGTGGAGGTCTGGACTAAATGGCCCCTGAAACTCAGATTTTATGGTGTTTTCAATCTCTGACTGAGTACAAGTTCCTCCCTCTCCCTTTGTGCCTCCTTGGGGACCTGGGCTATTTTCTCTTCTGTGAAAGAGAATGGATACATCCATTATGAAAACCAATTGATATAATTTAAGCCTGCATGCAGTTAAAAACTATATTAAGAAGGTTTATAAAATCTAATCTCCTGGCTTAACAAGCCTGATTCTGAAAGTGGCGTCTGAGACCCTGGCTGAGGGGTGGTGGTGAGGGGTTGCAGAGGGACCTGCACAGCTGCTGAGGAGGCTGTGGGACAGGAGATGCTATCACCGTCTACCTCTTCCATCCATGCACCTCTGTGTGCAGGTGTGAGAAGGGCACCACGCTGCGAAGAAGGGTCCTTTCCCCCGTCTGCGGTTGCTGCCGGCTCCCCGATGTCTGTCCCTGAGGCCTGAGCCTGGGGTTGGGGAGGGTGCTGGCCAGAACAGAGGCTGCCGTACTGCAACCGTGGGGAAGCCAGCGTGAGCACAGATCCACCGCAGAAGAGTGGCAGAGGGAGAGGGTGAAAGGAACCTAGGTGTTCCTGTCCTTGTTGAGTCATTCGATTAAAGATCCCTGGAATTTTCCTCTCTATGGCAGTGTGCTTTGTGGGATAATGAGTTGCCTTTTTGGGGTTGGCTTGCTAGTCGGGATGGTTTGCTCTTGTCAACATCCATACGCTTGCTCTGTGAACCAGTGACCTGATGAGGTAGCATTAGCGCCGCCGTCATTACGCTGAGGATGAGATTTATGGCACAGGGGTTCAGTAGCTTGCCCAAGGCCATGCGGCTGGTAGGTTCTGGACAGGGGCTCAGAGCACCCGTGAGCTACCCCTGCTGGCCATTACACTGCCCCAAGAAGCTGCTGGCAGCCCCTCCTCCGAGGGGTCAGCACGTAAGCTATGTCTTCTGGAACGCTGGCCAGACAAATGGAAATCGGCCAGGGTTGGGTACCCCCATGACAGCGGCCAGCCTGCCCTCTTAGTCCCTGACAGCTGCAGCGACAGCATCTGTGATTGCAAAGGGTGACAATTTATATCTCTCATTTCATCACACCATCTATCAGCAGAGTCAGGCTTTAAAAATCAATCCCACACTGACTCAGTCCCCAGCAGAGATGGCCTCTGAGAGCAGTATCCGCACTGTAGGCTGGACAAGGGCCCTATTAATTTAGAGACTCAGCCAGATTTCCTTCTGACCCCAGGCTGGCGAATCCCCGCTCGTTTGCTTTGGTTGGGGTTGGTGTGAGCTGAGGCTGCGATCCCGTTTGTTCCTATGGCCTCCGGGTGGCCTGGGCCTCCATGAATGGGCCACATGGTCATCCTGAATGCTTGATTACACTCAGACCTAGCAGTCCTCCGGGCACAGCTGGTTTATGGATCACTTTGTCACCACGTTCCATCCTTCCGCGTCCCCACCCCTGCAGTGGGAAAACGTTGCTTTAGGCAGCGCTGGAGGCCTCAGCAGGCTCTGGCAGCTTCTGGATTCAGGGTTAGAACCGAGGAGGAGGAGCCACAGCAAAGACAGGAGCAGAAGGCAGAGAGAACAGACACATGGGGCGTTTGAGAAGCGCCTTTGCGGCCTCAGGGAGTGGGAGACGCTGGCTCAGGATAATAATAATGGCAGTTTCTCTCATCTGTGTTTTCAGGGCGTGGACTGGAACTCCCAGTGCCCCTGACATGGGCTGAGTCAACGTAATCGTAAACATGTGACAGGCAGCAATGACACTGGCCGTCTTTTCTTGAGTCCTTATTTTGTGCCATCACTTTACTAATTACACAGATGATCTCATTCGATCCTCATAACAACCCGTAAAGCACGTACGTTACTGCTCCCATTTTATGGATGAGTAACTGAGACCCAGTGGAATTGAGCTAGCTTTGCAAGGTCATATCACTGGTAGACGTGAGAGCCTGGGACGGAACACAGATCTTCTGTTTCCGAGTTTAATGGGCTCCCAGCTAGCCGAGAGAGATGGTTCCTGAACCCTTGGGATAAATTTGCTTCTCACACCCAGAAGTTGGTGGAAATGCTGGAGAGTTGCGCCTTTCGTTAGGAGGCAGAGAGAAGAGTCCCTGACCAGCGTGTGCAGTTGTTTATTCACTCTCTGGGCATTTTGCTGATGGTGCAATTTGCAGAGCTGTTAATGGTAATGAAACTCCAGCGAGTGTCAGGAGACACAGGGGAAGCCAAGGAGAAGTGAGAGGTGGCTGCCAGCTTCCTGAGCTGCCCTTTGCGGGGATTAATGAGGTCTGTGTCTTCTCCTGCTTTAGACATCTCCCGAAAATGTCAGGTGCCCCCTAGACTGTCCTGTGAGCCTGTCAGCCTCCCTTCCTTCCACACCAGTCATTGGAGGAGAACCTGCCGTGACGTTATGCCGTTGCTGTTCCCTCCACACCTGAATTTGGGGCTCTGAGGGCTGTTCAGGCACATGCTGTATAATTCCAGAGCCAACTTTGAGTCCAATTGCTGGACCTCAAAAATCATGCTTATTTAATGGCCTGTGTTGCTTTGTACAATAAAGGTTGAGAATCAATCAAATCCATAATGAAGGGAAGCTAGACTCTTGGCAGTCAATGACCATTCAGGTCCTCACAAGCTACGTATGGCTGTGGAGAAGAGGGAAATCGAAGAGAGCGTGCACCAGCAGAGAGCCTGAGCTGAGCTCCCATCAGCAGCCTCAGGCCTGGGCTCCTACGGTGCGGGTTCTGAACAGTGGTTAAGCTCAGAGACCTGGGGCCCTGCCTCTTCGGGGTTAAAGGAGCCGGAAGAGGCCACAGCAAAAGCTGGCAAAGTTGTCCTCCACTCCGAGCCCAAGGGCGCAGCTCTGCATCAGTCCTTCCTCTGTCCCTGAGCACTTTTCATGGACCAGCCTCTCCTCCAGTCTGGGGAAAAAGCACTGTTTAAGATGCAGGGCTGGAGTCCAGGAACTCCGTCCGGTGGCAGAGGTAGACACGCAGTCAAGTTCGTTTAAGGAGGAACAGTGGTGGCCACTGCTGGGAGGGGGTACCCAGGGAGGAGAGAGATGAGAGGTAATGATTCCACCTGTGGGTGTCTGCAGAGCCCTCGGAGGGTTGCCATTCGGTGGGTCGGGGGCACTGAGGAGGATTCCCCCAAGCAGAGAGATGGGGAAGAGGTGGTGGAGGGTGACGAAAGGAAGGTGGGTTTCACAGCCTCAGAGTGGGCGCAAATCTTGGTTCTGAAAGACACTTTCTGTGAAACCTGGGCGTGCTCATTCATGGACCCAAGCTTCAATTTCAAAAGCAAAAGAAGGGGGAGGCCCATGTTTTGTGGTTGCGGTCAGCACGTAATGTGGATGAGGCGTCAATCCATGTGAGCACGTTTCTCTGGACGCTGGTTTCTTCTCTGCATTCCAGGAGGCAGCAGAAGTTGCAGAGAAGAGTGAGGCACGTTTGAAAAATGCTGAAGAATGAAAAGTGTTTCTGTCCAGGTGAGGGTGTCTGCTGAATGACTTGGATTTTTTGGGTATGTCATTTCCCATTTCTCACCCCCAAATAGGAGTCTGCTTCTCATCTCAGCATTTGTATAAATATTGATTATTGGTTAGTGTGTATCAGAGTCCTACTGAGTAGAAATTATATCAGAAAAATGAAGAATCTCTAGAGATGGCAAAGTGCGAAACAAAAATCCCCAGGACAGCAAATGCTCAAAGTTCACCACACATCGCAGTGACAATTGTTGGGGGCCCAGGTTGCTGAGGCTGCCCAGAGGGGCTCAAGTTCTGTACTGAATACAGGAATCAGCTGGAAGCTGGAGGCCACGTGACCCTTGGACCCCCTCCATTCCAGAAGTAGGTGAACAAGTCTGGGCAGGACCCTGGAATCGGCATTCCCAAGGGAGTGCCTGGTGATTCTAACTCAGCAGGGCCTGGTCCACCCTGAATCCATTGCCCATCTCCATTAAAGCCTCCTTTCACCAGTCAAGTCCCTGGCTAGGGAAAGGTCTGGAAACAGAAGTGGAGAACAAAGTTCTGGGAAGAGTTCTATCCCCACGGCCGTCCTGCCAATAGGAAGCCAATGTCCTGGTCTCAGGAACGCTGGGTGTGGCCCGGCTGGAGACGCCAATGTCCTGGTCTCAGGAACGCTGGGTGTGGCCCGGCTGGAGACGCGTCCCTCGGGGCGGTCAGGAAGCTTCTACCTTCTGGGCCCTTCTGCAGCCAACGCCTGAGGCAGCGAGGCCAGCCCTTCCCAGAGCGCCAGCTCACAGGTCAGGCAGAGGGTCAGCTGCCACACACCGTGGGACTCAGAGGCGCCGGAGAGCTCCCCTTTCCAGACTATGTCCCCTCCGGCCTGAAGTTCTGTCTAACCCACATGGGTTAAAATCCTGAAGGCCCCGCCAGCGTGCAGGTATGTGGTCCCAAAGGGGCAACATCTTGGACCAGCTGCGCTC